CTTTCCTTTCCTTTTTTCTTTTCCTTCCTTCCTTTCCATTCGTTCTTTCCTTCTTTCCTTTCATTCCCTTTCATTCCTTCCCTTCCTTTCCCTTCCTTTCTTTCTTTTCCATTCCTTCCTCCCTCCCTTCCTTCCTGTCCGAAATAGTGTAAAGTCTCCTGCTTCAGCAGGGGGCTGGACTAGAAGACCTCCAAGGTCCCATCCAATTCTTTCCTTCTTTCCTTTCCTTTTTTCTTTTCCTTCCTTCCTTTCCATTCGTTCTTTCCTTCCTTTCCTTTCCTTTCCATTCGTTCTTTCCTTCTTTCCTTTCATTCCCTTTCATTCCTTCCCTTCTATTCTTTCCCTTCCTTTCCCTTCCTTTCCCTTCCTTTCCCTTTCTTTCTTTCTTTTCCATTCCTTCCTCCCTCCCTTCCTTCCTGTCCGAAATACTGTAAAGTCTCCTGCTTCAGCAGGGGGCTGGACTAGAAGACCTCCAAGGTCCCATCCAATTCTTTCCTTTCCTTTTTTCCTTTCCTTTTTTCTTTTCCTTCCTTTCCTTTCCTTCTTTCCTTTCCTTCCTTCCTTCCTTTCCTTTCCATTCCTTTTTCCTTCCCTCCTTCCACTCTCCCTTCCTGTCTGAAATGATATAAAGTCTCTTGCTTGAACAGAGGGTTGAATTAAATGACCTCCAAGGTCCCTTCCAACTTTTTCCTTTCCTTCCTTTCTTTTCCTTTCTTCCTTCCTTCCTTTGTTTCTTTTGTTTCCTTTGTTTCCATTCCTTCCTTCTTTCCTTCCCTTCCATTCCTCCCTCCCTCCTTCCTTTCCTTCCTGTCTGAAATAGTATAAAGTCTCCTGCATGAGCAGGGGGTTCGACTAGAAGACCTCCAAAATCCCTTCCAACTCTATCGTACTATTCATCACCACTTTTTTTTCATCCCAGAACAATCTGAGTCAAAGCTAGCTGGGCCTTTTACAGTTGGAATCTGATTTCATTGGAAGCAGATTTCTATATTTGTTTTTTAAAAAATTAACATGGGTTTGTTTAGGGGGGAATGCTACTAGATTCCTGGTAAATAAATTATATTTATTATAATTACCTTTCACATTACAGTGGGCTTTTTTCATGCAATGGCAGGATAAATGAAATAAATACTTAAATATAAACTTTTAAGTCAAGTTCTGCTCCTTGTAACTGTAGAAAGAAGAGGTTTGTAAGTCCCCAAATTGAACAGGAAGGGAGCGTGGAGGTCTTGTAGTTTTAATTCTTTATTTTAACCTTGGAAATAAAGAATATATATATATATAGGCACACGGTGGCTCAGTGGCTAAGACGCTGAGCTTGTCGATCAAAAAGGTCGGCAGTTCAGCGGTTCAAGTCCCTAGCGCCGTGTAACTGAGTGAGCTCCCATGACTTCTCCCAGCTTCTGCCAACTTAGCAGTCTGAAAGCACATTAAAAATGCAAGTAGAAAAATAGGAGCCACCTTTGGTGGGAAGGGAACAGCGTTCCGTGCGCCTTCGGCGTTGAGTCATACTGGCCACATGACCACGGAGACGTCTTCGGCCAGTGCTGGCTCTTCAGCTTTGAAATGGAGATGAGCACCGCCCCCTAGAGTCAGGAATGACTAGCACATATGTGCAAGGGGAACCTGTACCTTTACACACACACACACACACACACACACACACACACACATGTGGGGGGGGGGGAATGGGGAAAGGAAGCAGTATGTTCCCACCCATATTTGGGCACACCAGGTACTTTGACAAAAGAAAACACACTAAATCATTCCCCTGGCTCAGCTGATAAGGGAGGAGAGCTTGTGGCTTAGAGGTTAATACAACT